CAAAGTCCGGATTTTTTTATTTCTATTATAATTTTAAGAAACGTCGTCGTCATTATTGTCATTATTATTGTCATCGTCGACCAGAAGAAAATGTCCATCTCGTTTTTTCGACAATAGAGGGCTTTTGACTTAATCTAGCAATGGCAGTATTGCACATTCGAACGTGATAAACCACACATAACGGCTGTGATAATCAGCGATGGTAAAACATTGTCACATATACGATGTGACGTGTTACGTAATTAATTAATTCAAATTCAAATTAATAAAATGAATTAAAATAAAATATTAATTATAATTAAAATGAAATATCGAGATTTTCGTTGAAGATCTAGGAATTTACCGCGTCAAGGAAGAGAGTGTATAGATATTCAGGAATTAAGCGTCTAGATGTTCGCCGTCAAGGAATTAAGCGTCTAGATGTTTGTCGTCGAGGAAGTGGATGTCTAGGTCGAAGAAATGAGTGTTTAGGTGATGGCCATCGAGGAAGTGGGTGTCTAGGTGTTCGCTATTGGGGAAATGGGTGTCTAGGTGTTCGTCATCAAGGAAATGAGTGTTCAGGTGTTCGCCGTCGAGGAAATGGGTGTTTAGGTGTTCGCCGTCGAGGAAGTTGGTGTCTAGGTGTTTGCCATCGAGGAAATGAGTGTCTAGGTGATCGCCGTCGAGGAAGTGGGTGTCTAGGTGTTCGCTATTGGGGAACTAGGTGTCTAGGAATTCGCCGTCAAGGAAATGGGTGTCTAGGTGTTCGCCGTCGAGGAAGTGGGTGTCTAGGTGTTCGCCGTCGAGGAAGTGGGCGTCTAGGTGTTCGCCGTCGAAGAAGTAAGTGTCTAGGTGTTGCCTACATATTCGCCGTCGAGGAAATTGGTGTTTAGGTATTCGTCGTCGAGGAAATGGGTGTCTAGGTGTTCGCCGTCGAGGAAGTGGGTGTCTAGGTGTTCGCCGTCGAGGAAATGGGTGTCTATGTGTTCGCTATTGGAGAAATGGGTGTCTAGATATTCGCCGTCGAAGAAATGGATGTCTAGGTGTTCACCGTCGAGGAAATGGATGTCTAGGTGTTCGCCGTCGAGGAAGTGGGCGTCTAGGCGTTCGCCGTCGAAGAAGTGAGTATCTAGGTGTTGTCTACATGTTCGCCATCGAGGAAGTTGGTGTCTAGGTGTCCGCCGTCAAGGAAGTGGGTGTCTAGGTGTTCGCCGTCGAGGAAATGGGTGTCTAGGTATTCGCCTTCGAAGAAGTGGGTGTCAAGATGTTCGCCTTCAAGAAAGTGGGTGTGTAGGTGTTTGTTTTCGAGGGAATGGGTGTCTAGGTGTTCGCCATCCCATTCTGACAGGTTTGACTCTAGATAGCAAGAGGCAAATGTGGCATTTAGTATTAACCGTTATATTATTCAGGTTAGAAAATCTGTCACATCGATGGAACAGAGGAACACGTATGAACACGTAAGTGAGGCTAGAATAAATATTTATTTCACAAATTCTCTGCTGTAAAACACATTTTCCGGTGTAAGAATACAAATTATTTTGATAATTATGCCGATAAGGGTAGCCAGCCCGGGAGGTACGGGAGTGGGCGGGTCCGCCGGAGGGATGGACCGAGGAGCTGGCCGTCACCGGGGGGGAGATGGCCGCTGCC